TAATATCAAGCTAGCATAGTCAAGGTATTCTAAACATTGTGGAAATCCTATGAAAAAAATCTGAACATCACTCCATATTTATGAATAGATTCCATTGAGCATTGAAATGAATCTCTTAATTCTCAAGCATATAGTGGGAGATTGGTAGTTGCATGAGTAGGCAGCTATTCCCTCTGACAACACAGCCCACCCAAGTGTAAACCTAGTGGTTTACTTTGCAACAATTTCGGGAATGCTGAACATAACAACAAATCTTCAAGACATTTTGTTATGACCATTCTTGAAAAGATATAATAAAAAGGAGGCAGTTACTTATTTCACTTATCTTTTTTGCACATTATCAAGTGTGAAACCAATTACTTCATTAGAATAGCAGCATGTGAGTCCGATATTTATGGCAAACCGTTAAATAAAACCCATGCGTCTGCATCTATCTAACAAAAACAAAATATCTGACAGAAACATTAAATTCTTGAAAATTCATTTCCTTAGTCTACTTATTTCCGAATTATTGCTTTCTTTTAGTTGTGCTACTTACTAAAATTGAGTAGTATTAAAATATTTCTATTTATTTGAACTAGATTTATTGACCCATTACAGTAAATGTTAAACACGCTAATGATATTTATGTTAATATTTCCAACTTGTGATTTATACTACGCCTCTAGATTTCTGACTTTTGTGCACTGCTTTCTGGGCCTTAGCTTATTTCGAACTTTTGATCATTTTAATTACCAGTATGTATTCCATTTATTTAAATTAAAAATGAACATTTATAAAACTCGAAAGTTAAATTTAATATAGTGTGAGTTCAACACCCAACATACCAAACCAATTACATGATCCTAGTTTAAGGTACTAACCTTAATACTGTTACACATTAGTTAAATTAGAAATTGTAAACTTGAATTGCAGGTGTACTTTATCACTGCAAAGGAATATATGTTGGTAAAATACTACTTGACATTTCTATGAAAATTCTAAATGTTTGTTATGATGTAGTGAACTTCAACAACTATATTCCTACCTTTTTTGCTAATATGTCTTGGATTTCCAAAGTATGACCATTAAGGAAGTGTTTGTACTTCGTTTCAATAAACATTTGTAAGTAACAATCTTTCACACTAATTTTGCCTATTATCTCATGTATGATAGTAACATTAACTAATCTGAGAAGTTTAAGATTATTACAAGTTTGTTATCGAAAAACTTCCTCTTCATTATTAGTGTTGTATCAAACTATGCATAGATCAGATGTCTAAAATGCTATCACTTATCTAGGCTTCAAAATAAGTGGTTCTGGTGATAACCTGGATTATTTGTTATATACCGGAATATATACCAAAGACTTAACATACAAAAATATCTACAGGATTATTTTTCAATTTTATTATTTAGGTCCCTCAAGTGAACAATTAGGACTGAACTAACCAAGAATACTACAAATGTAAGATGAATTTGTTTACTTCAGAAAGTACATTAATTAATTATATTATTCATTATAACGTTTTAACTTATTTTTTTGTTATCCTCTAGTGATTTTTTTCGGCCCGGTTCAAAAAATCCCTACAAATCCCCATGGGAAGATCATTAGATAATATTATTTACCAACTGAGTATATATATATATATATATATATATATATATATATATATATATAATAGGGGATAAGAACAGTGTAGAGAATAGCACGAAGGCTTCATTGGTTTTAAAGGGGTTCAAACGCAGTCCATTATAAACCATAGTTATTCCATGGATATCCTGTAATGACTGTTTTATCCTAATGAAATTTTTCGGAAGTGCTTTCTAGGAAAGAAAACAATACTTCACGTGAAAAGTATTAGTGGTTATGGTTTTTAGGTCCAGTAAAATTCATCAATCTATAAAAAGACGTCCTGTTGTGCTTAAACGTTCTTGTTAATTTGACTTGAAGTGTTATTTGCCTCAGTTGATTTTTATTGTATGCTAACTAGTTTCATGAATAACCTCTAACAAAATACATACAACATGGACACAATAGACATAATTGTTTCTGTTACTTTATTGCAACTTTTACGAAGGAGCTGATGGTTTGTGTTACTTTATGTAATTATAAATTCTGAACGGACTGTTCAGAACGAAGGATATTAAGTATATGGAGCAGATGTTTTGTGAACCTTTGTTAGTCTTGAAACAGAGTCATATTCACTAACCTGTAAATTGACTTTTCGGTAAGCCAATTAATTGAAACTTGAACTGAAGTGATATTTAATGAAATGTTCTAAGAAACTACGCTCATCTTTCTCGAATTATCTCATCATCTCCAATGAAATACTTATACGTTGATATTAATGTGCAGGCTGGTAACCGGGAGAATCAAGTGTTGTAATCTGCAACTAGGAGGAAAGTATTGCAAGATGAATTTGAGATGATTACTTCTTCATTCTGTGCTGGCAGTATATTTCATATATTCCTCCATAAAATAATGAATGAATACGAATCCATGGAAATGCCTATGAGAAATATCAAGTATATACATGAAACACGAACAATCTAGTAGGTCTTTTTTGTTTACTCTTAATGGGAACATTATTATCTATGTATAGCATCATGAATTAAGAAAGTACCGAGATACAATATAAGATCCCGCAGACGTGAAAACTTTGGAAGAATACCTATATGAGGTGACAAACTCGGGACAACAGATTTTTTCTGTTGGTTCCCAAGCACTTTATAAAATAATTACTTTAGAAATGTCTGGAAGTTTATCTATTAATACCCTCAAACTCGTGTTGTAATTCAGAGACCCATTTAGAAGAGACAATTTAGATAATTTTAGCAGTTCACTATTTTCACAAAATTAATTAGAAAAACTTTATTTAGCAGACCTAGTAAAGATAATCTGAATTAAACAACTGACGAAAAACAAACTATTGAACCCGTCTTTCAATGACTTAATGAAGTTAGGTCAACCTAAACATTTTAACGAATCCTTTATGACGTTGCCTGTTAGCTAGTCCTATATCGTCCATTTTCCCAAAAGTGTTCAGATATTACATTTTACAAGCCCTATTTTCCTTTCCTTCTATCCTACTAGTAATTAATGTATCCCTCATTCACCATAAATGAGTGACATAATCCTAGTTTTACTTTTTTTTTGGTTTCAATCTGTATCCTAATTCTTAAGAATGACCCAGATATCAGGAGGTTTCACCATGATAATTTAGTCCTTTGTGTTCTAGTAATAGTATTCATTTGGTCTAGTTTTTTTATTTTGCTTTGCTTTGTTTGGATTGGCGATTGTCATAGTATCTAGATCATACTTAATACTTTGGGTTTGGCTAGTTTTATATCAGGAAGCGTCTAAATTTAAGGTTATTAATTTCTTCCTTTGATCGTACCTAATATTTGTAGCATCGCTTCGAGGCTTTGGTGGCCCAATGACCTGACTTCTATTTAGATCGTACGAATGATTGTTATCGCTGATTCGCGTATATCATCGTCGACTTAGATCGCGTTATCCAATAATGGAATTAAATAAGTCGAATAACGAGAATTGATTTGAGAATACATATATTTCGTACATGAAGTGAATGAAGCACAGCAAAGCAAAAATGACATGTATGGAAGATGGCTGGGAAGCCAACTCCATTTTAGTCGAGCGTTACTCAATATTTATAGTCAGACAAAATAAAGCTACAGACATGTGATTAATAGGATGAGAAGGGCACACATATATACGCTCATATAAAAACAGTCAAGACTGACAAGCGAATAATTGACAAGGTCAAAGCATGACTCAAGTAGAATAGATCGAATGGGATGTCCGAAAGCTAGAATATAAGATATATGGGCTTAAAATAATGACTGACACTACAAGGCATTCCGGACTCATTTGTAAAATTTGGAACGTTTTGGCTTTGGATTTTTCTTGAATAAATGTCAAATTACTACTGCGGTGGTTTAAACAACAGTTCGTCAATGTACTTAGCATAAATATCTCCAGGATTATTTAGCTGTCTAGGTTCTTAACTGGATGTGCCGAAAAACTAAAATGGAATTTACAGGTTTCCAGGTTGGATATCTTATTGTAATGTCTGGTACTATGTCAAGTTCACATGCATTATCCTAGCTTCTAAACAGATCAACTAATTTATTCTTCCTGAATCAAATTTTGACCTTATCAATTGGTCTTTTGCACTATCGACTGTTTTTATGTGATTGTATGTGTGTGTTGCTTACCCTGTTCAACTTATTTTTGTCTGACCATAAATATTCAGTCATGCTCACTGGCCCTTTCTTTTTCCTCTCCCGCTTTTCCTTCTGAATGTCTATCTGGAGAACCAAGAGCTTGAGATAAACTTATCCAACACAACCCGTGTAAGATCCATTTTGAATGTTTTGTGTGTTTGTGAAAATCCTTCCATGTATATACTTGCACTTTGTTCCTATTGATCCCCTTAGTTGTACATTGCTGTCTTTTGATTACATTTGAATTGTTAATACTTGTATTTTTTATTATAGTTTTTGTTTTTCTTACGCATTCACTAAGTTTGTGTTTCTTCCCGAACTGCATCTGTGTTGTTTTACTTGACACTTGTTCTTGGCGGTAGCCATATTGATTTGCTCCTCCTTTTGTGTGTTCTATCCAGTCAGGATAGAATAACGTTCATTTGTTGTGACTGGTAATTTTCCCTCATCTTTCATCAACTACTTTATTTATTGTAATTTAGATTTTATTGATTGAACAATTATTGGTTGAATAGCCGGGTGGTAATATTTGTTTAGGTAACGATTTACATTTAAATTTATGATGAATTATAGAACCGCTATTTACCTGATTACTTGTTTTGATTTCGACGGGAAAGGGCGCGTGTCTAACGTACCTGGAAGGCTATTCAGCAGTCCAAACCGTAGTTTGGATTTTACAGTTCTAAACAAATATTTTGGTCGAATTCGTTTGGCTTTCGTTTCGTTGATTCCAATCATTGTCTCTGGGAATATTTGGTCGTTCGCTTGCGATGCCAAACAATCGTCGAAGGAAATTAAGTCCAAGGCTCGTGGATGTTAAAAGGGATGAACAAAAGAATGGATTCCCTCAATCAAGGCAAGTGCCTTCTGATGCCTCTATGTGTCATGGTTCATATTCTAATAGGGACGATTGTAATTATAGTGAATCTAGTTGCGATACAATGGCAGATGGCATAGAAAACCTTAGTTTAGACGTGAAGCAAGCGAAAAGCGTCATGCCTACGGCGCCTTTCGTAGGTCCCGAGTTACCAAAGGTTGAGTTAAGTTATTTCGACGGTCAACCAAGAGGTTATTGGAAGTTTTTAAGGGAGTTTGAGACCTATGTAGAATCAAGGGTCAAGGATGATGGTCAACGCTTGCTTTATTTGATACATTATTGTAAGGGTAAGGCGAAAACAGCCATTGAGGGTTGTGTTATGTTGGAAGCCTCTTCTGGTTACAAGAAGGCCAAAGAAATTCTAAAACGGTTGTTCGGACAGGCGCATGTAATCGCTAGGGAAACTTTAGAGGACTTATTCAAAACTACAAATGTTGATTACAGTGATCCTGAGCAACTGACAAATCTAGCTATAAGGATGAAAAATTGTTCTATGGTTTTGAATCAGATGAAGTATACGGCCGACTTAAATTCTCTAATTACTTTAGAGAGAATAGTAAGACTCTTACCTCAAGTTATGCAAGCCCAGTGGGCGGACTGGGTAGATGAATTGACTGAAGATAATAGAGAACCGACCTTTGACGAGCTTACCCAATTTATAGCATCCCGCGCGAGAGTAGCTAATAGTAGGTTTGGACGGTTAGCGAATCGTCCGAGAAAGGGACACAACTTAAAGACAAATTGTCGCTTGCAATTGGAGCAGGAGAATAATTCGAGAGAGAGAGAGCTAAATGCAGGGTGTGTTCCCAGGACCATGCTATTTATAAATGTCCAAAATTTTTAGCGCTTAACGTTCAAAAGAGATGGTCTCACGTAAACGTTAATGGCATCTGTTTTGTCTGCCTTAGGCAAGGACATAAAGTTAATGAATGTAAGCTGACAAAACGTTGTAACGTTAATGGTTGTGAGAAGAAACACCATTCTTGCTGCACAGCGAAAATGATAAATCAGTATCAATAGAAGATAAGGCGGCTATAAGGATTGTGGAAGGGGGCACACGCTTCGAAAATGGTCATTTTGCAGTTCCTGTACCATGGAAAGTGAACCCAAATATGAAAGGGGGGAATTATGAAGTGGCAAACAATAGACTACAGAGCTTGAAGCGTAGATTGTTGAAAGATGACATTCTGTATATCAAGTATACAAAAGGTATTGAAAGTGATTTTATTAAGGGCTATGCGGAGAAGATCCCTGAAATACAATTGCAACCTAGTTATCGCCCCCGGTGGTACTTACCTCACCATGCAGTTTTAAATCCGAAAAAGCCAGAAAAACTGAGAGTGGTCCTTGACTGCGCCGCCAAGTTTGCAAGCGTTTCTCTAAATGATATGATTTATCAAGGACCCGACACAACTGCTGAGTTAGTGTGTATATTATTGCGTTTTTGCAAAGAAGCAGTCGCAATCTCTGCGGATGTTGAAGAAATGTTCATGCAAGTGAAGGTCCCTGAGTCTGATCGAGGAGCTTTAAGATTTCTGTGGTGGCAGGAGGGAGACATGTCGAGGGAACCATCCGAGTTTCAAATGACATCTCATCCATTTGGTGCCACATCATCGCCGTTTTGCGCGAACTTTGCCTTGAATAAGACGGCCCAAATATTCTCTGACGGTTATGATGGTTATGTTGTAGATGATGTCAAGAATAATTTCTATGTTGATGATTGCTTGATATCCATTCCCACTTGTGATCAAGCAAAGAGTTTCGTTAAGCATATAAGTGAATTATTATGTAGAGGAAGTATACAAAAAATGACTGATCTTGAATCTTGGTTCAAATGTCCTACTTTATTGCATGGCGAATTTTATATAACAATCACTGACTGTCCGGAACCTACTCCTGACGCTATTGAGTTTAGAAAAACTGCTGTGGTTAACTTGAGTAGTATAAAGTACAACATGTTACCTATTCTCTCTTATTATTCCGAGTGGTTGAAATTAGTCAGAGCTGTAACCTGGTTTAGAAGGTTCATCGAATTCCTGATGGTACTTCGTTTACCAAGTTGTAAAGGATCCGTTCATCTAGGATGTTTAAAGGTCAAGGAGCTTGACATCGCCAAGTGTAAGAATTTATTGATGGTTCAAAGGGAAGTGTATGGAGAATTATTTAGTGAATTTAAAAACAGCAGTAAAGTAGTAAGTCATGATGATCTGAAAGGTTTATCACCGATAATGCTTGATGGGTTACTCTGTGTTACAGGTCGGCTAAGCTACTCAGACTTCTCAAATGCTTTTAAACATCCAGTAATTTTACCCAGTCGACACTTAGTGACGGAAATGATAATTAGACATTGTCATAAAGAACCAGGACACATAGGAAGGTCATTAGAAAAAGGATATAGATATGTGTTTACTTGTTTGCAAACATGGGCAGTACATATTGAACTGATGTATAGTTTGATTACTGGTTCATTTATAATGGCCTTATTACGCTTTATTAAAAGAAGAAGGAAACCTCCAGAGACTTACAGTGACAGTGCGTCAAGCTTCATGGGTGCAGTTTCTGAGTTAAGGAGGGTTGTGCAACAGTCGAATCAGCAGAAGATAAATATTGAATTGTCAGCGAGACCCTCATTCAACAGCATGGGTGGAGTTTGGGGAAGAGTGATTAGGTCTATACCACGACTGTTATTGTTGATCACCAGAGAACAGATGAAGCAGGTCTCCCTGAAGCTTCGGGTTAGTCTTTTTTGTTATTAATGTAGTTAGGTCGAGTAGGCGTACTGCTGTAAGTCCTACTCGTTCCTATAGTGTAATATGTTATATAATGAACCATGACCGTAGGCATCAAGGTAGCTTGTGTGGTATGGAGGGATTTTGGGGGCCGGTGTAAGATCCATTTTGAATGTTTTGTGTGTTGGTGAAAATCCCTCCATGTATATACTTGTACTTTGTTCCTATTGATCCCCTTAGTTGTACATTGTTGTCTTTTGATTACATTTGAATTGTTAATACTTGTATTTTTTATTATAGTTTTTGTTTTTCTTACGCATTCACTAAGTTTGTGTTTCTTCCCGAACTGCATCTGTGTTGTTTTACTTGACACTTGTTCTTGGCGGTAGCCATATTGACTTGCTCCTCCTTTTGTGTGTTCTATCCAGTCAGGATAGAATAACGTTCATTTGTTGTGACTGGTAATTTTCCCTCATCTTTCATCAACTACTTTATTTATTGTAATTTAGATTTTATTGATTGAACAATTATTGGTTGAATAGCCGGGTGGTAATATTTGTTTAGGTAACGATTTACATTTAAATTTATGATGAATTATAGAACCGCTATTTACCTGATTACTTGTTTTGATTTCGACGGGAAAGGGCGCGTGTCTAACGTACCTGGAAGGCTATTCAGCAGTCCAAACCGTAGTTTGGATCTTACAACCTGTATGTGGATTCTTGTTACCACCGTCAGACAATCGGTGTTAGGCCTAGGTGATATGCATAGTTCAGTCGAACATTTATGGTCATAGCATATTCACACGTTCACTCGAAATGAAGTCAGATCAAAAGGCCACAAAATACTGTAGAATATTTATGAATTAGTTTCAGAGATTAAGAACCTTCCATGTGTGAAATATTAAGTAGTGAATAATTCCCATGATATTAAAACACAGATATACCAACGAAGAATATTTTTCAATGATTATATTAAGGTTCTAAATTATATATCTAATTTAGCAATCCAAAAAAAACAGGCCAGCTTCAAGACAAAGTGCATCAATTAAACTTATAGCATATATGAATTAAGGGTTGTTTGTAATGTAACAAGACTTTCAGTCTTGCGCTTGAACGCTTAATCTTTAGACCACTGAACCGGTAGCAAACGGTGTTAATGTCTAACTTTAACCAATCCACGATATTGCGCGTCCATCTTCTATTGTCTACGGTGGGACGACATGAACTGGGAGGAAGGAACGAGAATAGTGACAAATCTTCAAACTTATGTGTATTCAACAAAATGGTTATAGACGGCATTATATTCCACCGCAAACGCATGCACAAAACTACTCGGGTTTCACCGGATCACACTATAGAGAATCAAATCAATCATATTTGCATCGTTAAAAATTCAGAAGGTCAGTGGGAGATGTGAGAACCAGGAGCGGAGCAACCGCAAACAGTTGGAAAGGATTGTCCAGGACGGAGTTCGATGTAGAATGCTGATGGGGGGCCTCCACTATAGCAGCATAGATAGACTAATTGATTTGACTCTGAATACATACCGTTCGTGGCTGCTTCTGTTATGTTCTCTGCTTGATTAACGCAGAATAAGGTATACAACTGCGGTAATCAGATGTACAGAACCCCACTGTCGCAAAACCAGAAGACAAAAGAAAGATGGAGAAGTGTTTGTCAGGTAAGAATCAAATGTACAGGAAATCATGGCTATTTATGAATACTAGTATTTGTTATATCAACATTATAATTCAGCCAATCAGCACAGAGGCAAGTTATACCGCTGTCCAATTGTAACGTAACATGTTGATATTCTAGAAAGCTCCATTAGGTTCTGATTGGGCGGAAACTCTTTGGCTCCTTTAGGACCTCTAAAGGCTCCATCTTAGTCTTCGGAAGCAATCCGAACAGCTCCATAACACTTAATGTCTTAAAGTCTGCACACTGACATTTATAGTCGAGCGAAAATAAGTTACAGATATGTGATTAGTAGAATAAGAAGTGAACACAAATATGCTTACATAAAAGCAGCCAAGGTTGATGAGCAAATAATCGGCAAAGTCGAAATGCTGCTTGAGATGAATCAGTAGACTGATCCGTCCAGAGGCTGGAATAACGTATGTGGGCTTGACACGGTACCAGCCCCAGCAAATTCAACTGGCTGTCGTTTCACTTTTCTCTTGTCCCTTCCTCTCCCAGATTCTTTCATGCACTCCTTTCCGAGCTTCTCCAGCTCACAAAATACTTTGAAGCTAGAAGCAAACCTAGCAAAGACTGAACGTTACATACTTAGTGCAAATGTGTCCAGAAACTTATCATTCAGGAAACATTTATCCAAACAGTCCACGTTAAGGAGAAAAATGGGTATTTACTCTTTATTCACGTTTTGTTTCCCTTTGTTCCTCTCAAGTTCGCTCTTATATCTCTCCTCTTATTTGCTTCGGACATAGACGATAATCGTTCAGTATTGCTAAGCATGACTGTTATGCGTTCCTGATTCACTTCCGTGTGTTCTTGGATAGATATATCCAGCTCGCGCGATGACTTATTTCAATAAACGTCAACTCCTGGATGGGTAATTTCCGTGTGTTTCTCTCATTGCTCGTTATCAACCCACCCATTCTTTCATCAACTGCTGCTTAGACACTAGCTTGTTTTGACTGGTACGGTTGTCGAATTACTGTAAACTGTTTGTGTTCCTGCTGAAGTAACATCTAGGCTAGTTAAACTTATATTTATCACGATATCAAGTCCAATCATATCTATACTCCTGTAGTGTCAGTTATTATGTTAAACCCATATACCTTATTCTAACTTTCGGACATCCCATTTTATTCATTCTACTCGAGCCATACTTTGACCTTGTCAATTATTCGCTTATCAATCAAGACTGTTTTTATATGAGCGTATATGTGTGTACAGTTCATGTCCCATGATTCATCACATGTCTGTAGTTTATTTTGTCTGCCTATAAATATTGAGTAACGCTTAATTAAAATGGAGTTGGCTTCCCAGCCATCCTCCCCGTGCGTCATTTTGCTTGGCTCTGTTTCATTCACTTCATATACAAAATATATGTATTCACAGATCAATTCTCGTTATTCGACTTATTT